TCTATTCTTGTTCTTTCCTTTTACTAACTTTGGCTTCATTTGTTCTTTTTAGAGTTCTTGGGGTGTAGAGTTAGGTTGTTTATTTGAGACTCCTTGTTTCTTGTTTTGTTTTGTTTTTAAGGTTTTATTGGGGAATTGGAGGGAAACAGTGTTGGGGAATTGAGGGAGGGGAATAGCCAAGTTGTCCTTCAGTCTTAGTTGTGGAGGGTGCAGCTAGCTCAGCTCCAAGTCCAGCGGCCATCTGGCCACCCGTCGGCAGCTCAAGACTGCTCAGCTCAAGGTGTCATGTTCAGTCTTAGTTGCGGGGGTGGCGGTATGGGGGGTGTGCAGCCACCATCCCATGAGGGAGTTGAACTGGCAACCTTGTTGTTAGGACCACGTGGTCTCACCAGCTGAGCCATCCTAACACCTGTTGGCAGCTCAGCTTGGGCGCAGCTCACTGGCCCATGTGGGAATCAAACGGGCAACCCTGATGCTCAGAGCTCCCGCTCTTAACCAACTGAGCCACTCGGCCGGCCCGGGACTTCTTGTTTCTTGATGTAGGCATTTATCACAATGAACTTTATGCTTAGAACTGCTTTTGCTGCATCCCATAATTGTTTGTCATATTTCCATTTTAATTTTCTGAAGGTATTTTTTTATTTCTCTTTTGATTTCTTTGACCCATTGATTGTTCAGTACCAAGTTGTTTAATCTCCACATATTTTAATTTTCCAGTTTGCTTCATGTAATTGATTTCTAGTTTAACACTATTGTGGTTGGAAAAGGTGCTTGATATGATTTCAGCCCTCTTTTAAATTTGTTAAGACTTGTTTTGTGGCTTAACATATGATCTGTCCTGTACAGTGTTCCATGTGCACTTGAGAATAATGTATATTCTGTTGCTTTTGGGTGGAATATTATGTTAGGTTGTCATCTAGTGTAGGGTATCAGTTAAGGCTGATGTTTCCATATTGATTTTCTGTCTGATCTATCTATTAATGTAAGTGGGGTATTAAAGTCCCCTACTATTATTGTATTGCTTTTTATTTTTCCCTTCAGATCTATCAATATTTGTTTTATAAAATTAGGGTCTCCTATGTTGGGTGCATAAATATTTACAAATGTTATATGCTCTTGTTATATTGAGCCCTTTATCATCATGTAATGCCCTTCTTTGCCCTTATTACAGTCTGTTTTAAAGTTGATTTTGTGTGCTATGGTTTTGGCTTTCATATGAATGGAATATCTTTTCCATCCTTCACTTTCAGCCTGTGTGTGTACTTACATTTAAAGTGAGTTTCTCATAGGCAGCATATAGGTGGGTCTTGGTTTTTTTTTCCCATCCATTCCGCCTCTCTGTATCTTTTGATTGGAGAATTTAGTCCATTTACATTTAAAATAATTATTGATAAATATATACTTATGCAATTTTAATTGTTTTTCTGTTTGATAATTTCTCTGTTTCTGTCTTCTTTTGTTCTCTTCCTTTGTGATTTGATTACTTTCTTTAGAGTTATGCTTAGAATCCTTTATCTTTTGTATAGTTATTATAGGGTTTTGCTTTGTGGTTATAATGAGGCTTACATATAACAATGTGTATCTATAACAGTCTATTTTAAGTTGATAACAACTTAAGTTTGATCACATTTTCAAACTCAACATTTTAATTCTCCTCTCCATGTTTTGGGTTTTTTTGGTCACTTCTTACATCTTTTTATTTTGTATGTTTCCTTCACTAATTACTGTAATCATAGTTTTTACTACTTTTCTCTTTTAATCTTCATATTCATACTAGCTTTATAAGTGATTAATCTACCTTTACTATATGTTTACTTTTCCAATGAGATTTAATCTTTGACATGTTCTCTTGTTACTAATTGACACCATTTCTTTTCAGCTTAAAGAAATCCCTTCAGTATTTCTTGTAAGTCTGATTTAGTCATGATGAAATCCTTTAGCAATTGCTTGTCTTGAAAACTTTTTTTTTTTTTTTAAGATTTTATTGGGGAATTGGGGGAGGGAACAGCACTGGGGAATTTGGGGAAGGAAAACAGACAAGTTGCTGTCCTTTTGTTCTTCAGTCTAGTTGTGGAGGACTTTGCTTCACTGGACCATGTTGGTATTATCATTACGCTCTTCCCAGGTGAGGCAGATCAGTTGCCAGCCTCTGGACGGCCGCTCACGGCGGCTCTTGGCAGCTCACACCGGTTGCCGGCTGCTCACGCTGGCTGCCAGCCACACACGGTAGCTTATGGCAGCCCACTGCAGCAGGGGCTGCAGCCTACGCCGTTGCCAGTGACTCAAGGCAGTCCAGCTCCAGGTTGAGCTGTTGGTTCACCATCTTAGCTATAGAGGACAGTGTCACTGGCCCTCATGTGAGATCCGAACCAGGGCCCTGCTGCACAGAGCTGACATCCCAAGCCAGCTCTTAACCAACACGCCACTTGGCTGGCCCTGGAAAACTCTTTATCTCTCCTTCAACTCTGAATGATAGCTTTGCTGGGTAAAGTATTCTTGGTTGGATTTTTCTTTTTCCTTTCAGCACTTTGAATATATTGCACCATTCCTTCTGGCCCACAAAGTTTCTGCCAAAAAATCTGCTCATAGTCTTATGGGGTTCCCTTATACATAACAAGTTATAGTTCTTTTTCTGCTTTTAAGATTCTCTCCTTGTCTTTAACTTTTGCATTTTAATTATAACGTGGCTTGGTGTGGGTCCTTTTGAGTTCATCTTATTTGGAACTCACTAGACTTCCTGGATATTGTTGTCTGTTGCCTAACCCTAGGTTAGGGAAGTTTTCAGAGATTATTTCTTCAAATAAGAATTATGCCCCTTTCTCTTCTTGTAGGAGCTATATCACGAGAATTTAGTTTGTTTGATGTCGCCTAAGTCCCTTAAGCTATCTTTACTTTTTTAAATTCTTTTTCCTATTTGCTGAGCTGATTGGGTGAGTTCCATTGCCTTGTCTTCAAGTTGACTAATCCTTTATTTGCTTCATGTAGTCTGTTGTTGAACCCCTTGAGTGTATTTTCTAGTTCAGTTATTGTATTCTTCAGCTCTGTGATTTCTATTTGGTACTTTTTTATGTTTCTCATCTCTTTGTTGAAGTTCTTAGTGCGTTTTTCCATTTTTCTCTGTAGTTCGGTGAGCATTTTTCTGACCATTACTTTTAACTCTTTATCAGGTAAATTACCTATTTCCATTTCATTAAGTTTTTTTATTATTATTATTTCATTTGGAACATATTCCTTTGTTTCTTCATTTTGTTTCACTTTCTGTGTTAGTTTCTATGCAGTAGATGAGACAACCACCTCTCCTAGGCTAGTTTCCACCAGAGGGAAGCTTTACACACACACACACATCTGGTGCTCTAGTTTTGGTGCCTACTGCCCACAGGATACCCTTTGATAATCTGGCTTGGATGGCCAAGGGAGCTTGCATTCACAGGACTGTGGCAATTGGAGAGATGGATTTTGGCATGCTAGCACTCTCAGTGCATGACACAGACAGCAAACTGAGGCACATCTCCCAGACTTTCTGTGACAGAAACCTCTTTGCTTGTCCTGGAGGTTTGGCCTGAGGGTTTGGCACACATCTAGTGTCCTACATAACTAACTGCTCTCAGGGAATGTAGGCTGTAGACACCATCTTAGCGCCCTCTCTCTCCCTTGCTGGTATCACCTAGAAAAAGCTTGTATGCACAACTGGAGCCCCGATTATTGCAGCTGACACCCACGGGACACCTCCAGATCGCCTGGCTCTGTTGGATAGCATGGCTTTCTCTTGTGGCCCCATAGAACTCTGTGTATTTGCATACCTTTAGAAATTGCTGCCGGAGAGTCTGGCTCCCATTCAGCCTGCATCTAGGTGTTGACATCCTCCCATTTGGGACACTGACAAGTCTTGGCATATACTTAACTACTGGGTGCTATTAAAAATGTAATAGGGTGCTTGGACAAGCACAAAGGTTTGAGAGACAACCAAGAGCTAGGTCAGAGTTGAACAACAGGTTCATCTCCTACATGAGGCCACTACTTCAAGTCTAGTGCAGATTTTTAATGTGCTTCTTCATTTGTAGTTTTAAAGTTTTCCATACCTTTTATAGGTCCTTTTGTTTCTATGTATCTTTCAGGTGTCTTTCTTCAGTCTTTCTTTTCTGATTTTATACTGTTTTGTTGAGTATAGACATAGAGCAAATATTTTCTTTTCCATTTTGGATGATATCCTACCCTTTTTTCCAATACTTGTTTATTTTTATAAGAATCATGTAGTTTTCTTCCCTTATCCTTAAATGAAAAGAAGGTTCTCCAGATGTGAGTTCCTATGTTTGAATGTAATCTTGAAATGCCCCCTACCTTTACCCCTGCAGAATAGCCTACGTATGTAGCTCTTTTGTATTTTGCCTCTTATACACTTTCCAAGTTGCAAAGCATCGTCATCTACTTACTAATGCCCTGGCCAGGTTATGAGGAATTAATTATGCATCCAAATGGATATAGTACTAGAACAGCTACCTGGGAGGAAAGTTGCTGATATGGTACATACTATCTGGTGGGGAGCAATATGATAGAGATGAAGTCTTATCAGAGAACAGGTTTATCTGAGATGGAGTTAGACTTTTGTGGAAATCAATGTACTACTTCTTACACAGCATTACCCATTAGGTCCCATCTGTGTTTCAATTGGTCAAAACTTTGGGGCTAACAGATGAGTGACTAATATACGTAATTTCCAGGGCTCTCCTGACTTTTCAAACCTTTTGATTTTTGTGCATATGCCAATGAAAATGTGAAGGAAGGTGAATCAGATATTGTTGCCATGTTATTTTGTGATTTTATGTTTATGATTGTGCTATTAAGCTATATAATTTTTTTATTTATGATATTTTGGTAAGCCTGCCTTTGTAAAATAATGTCTTATCTACAAGTATTAGGTTTGTTTAGATTTCAAGTGTTATGTTACAAAGGCTGATTTTATTTCTTAAAAACTAAAAAAATATGTTCCCATTTCTTTGTAGTAAAGTACTCAGCTTTGTGGGATATTGCATAAATCTTGGAAGACTGCAATTAAGTGGCAATGTCTCGAGAACCCACCCCACCCCTCTCTGGAGATATGTCTACTGGGCCTATAGCGGAAAGCTGGTGTTATACACAGGTATATGTTGTTGAAAAATTTAAGAATACTGTGAAGCACTTTGGCATAGTTATTAGAAACGTTAGGAGAGTAGGTTATAGAATATTTAACATGTGACTGGTTAAAAAGCATAAAAGTCATAAAAATGTTTTTCTGAATCTCTTAGGTTAAAGTAGTAAAATTTTCCTACATGTGGACCATTAATAACTTCAGTTTTTGTAGAGAAGAAATGGGTGAAGTGTTAAAAAGTTCAACATTCTCATCTAGCCCGAGTGACAAAATGAAATGGTAAGAATTTTTATTGTTTTGGAGTTTTGTTTGAAGTTTCGGCTACTTTACGGTTTTGTTATTCTTGTTCCTGAATGGATATTCGTCTGTTTTATATTTGATTTATAAGAAGTTCCTAATAAGATAGAGAATTGTAAAGAACTTTGGGGATGTTGATGGGATATTGACAAATGACTTTAATATTGCCTCTGTTTTAGCATGTTTAAAGTATTTTATTTCACCATGTGAGCCTATTGTTTTATTTTAGGTGCCTGAGGGTAAATCCAAAGGGATTAGATGATGAAAGTAAAGACTACTTGTCCTTATATTTGCTTTTAGTCAGCTGCCCAAAAAGTGAAGTTCGAGCAAAATTCAAATTTTCCCTTCTGAACGCTAAAAGGGAAGAAACAAAAGCAATGGGTAAGTGATTTGCAAATTGAGTGAAGAAGTCTCTGTGTAACTACATACTGTGACTTCTGCACTTTTACGTAGAAAAACTTAGGATATTTTTTTCCCACTAAACTCTGCTTAACCTAAAACATTTACTTTGGCCATTATTTAATTTTAAATGCCAGTGTAGAACTATAGTTGTACTAAATCTTGGCCTTCATAGACATGTAAAATTATTTAAAAATAATATTAAAATTCATTGTTCTCATTTCCTAAAACAACATTCACTTGTCACTTGGAAAAACAGTTTCTGTTAAGGGCAAGGTGTTTGATTCACTGCCTGACATATATAACAGGTGTTCAGGAAACATTTGTCTTCTCCCTTGCTGTTTTTGCCAGATAATACAATTGAAGAACATTGTGAAAAGAGATTAAATATCTTGTCTCTAGAATTTTTTTGAATAGACAACACTGATTGAAAATAAATCAGTTTTTCTTAGTCTCAAGACCTAGTAAATTCAGTTTAAGCTTCACACATATAGCCAGCTGATACCATATAGCCTAGAGCTTTATAATAGAAAAGCATACTAGGACAATATATAGTGAACTGTCACGTTAAATTTTAAGTGTTTAATAAAAGTGAATCACAGAATCTAGTAACATTATTATAAAATAACCTCTTCCAAATACACGTTTAAATAATATATATTTTATTGCTGAAGTAATACATAGTTTCATACATATATTTTCACATTGTCTGGCATTTAAGATATTGGAGTATCTTAATGGGTCAGGCTGCTATAACAAAGTACCACCGACTGGGTAGCTTATAAACAACAGAAATTTATTTCTCACAGATCTGGAGACTGGGAAGTCCAACCTGAGAGTGCCATCATGGTCAGATTCTCATGAGGGCCCTTTCTAGGTTGTGGACTGCCAACTTCTCTCTATGTCTTCACGTGGTGGAAGGGGTGAGGGAGCTTTGTGGGGTCTCTTTTATAAGAGCAACATTCCCATTCATGAGGGCTTCACTCTCATGACCTCATCTAATCCCCTCATGACTTCTTAATACCATCACATTGGGAAGTATGGTTTCAGCATAAGAAATTTGATGGGATACACACATTCAGTCCATAGCATGGAGTATTTCAATTAGATTTACTACTGCTTTCTACCTCCAATTAATTCTTTGTACAACGGATAGTAAATTCTTACTGTAGAGGATCTTATTTCATAGAGTACGGTTATACAGTATTATAGGCATTTGAAACATTCACTTCAGATATTTATTCATTTAATCTTTTAGAAATTATACTAAAAACTGTCTTTTGCACTTTTATGAAAGTTGTTTTTAGGGGTGAGGGGATTATGTCTAAAGACCTAGGAATGATAAGAAACTTTATCTTTTTCACGAGTTAATGGATTTTTTTCTAATTCAGTGAAACTAAAGTCAGTGGGATGGATGTCCCAGGAAAGCCTAAAGGATGCCCTGGTGATTTAGAGCATCCATTTTTAAGGGAAAGGTAGGAAATGAGAGGTATATTTCTAATCAGGTTCTGATGGTAGACAATGTATAGTATGCCTGTACCAGTGTATTTTGATCCTACTTTATTATTATAGGACCTAGATATTTCTTCGCCACAATTTTGATCTGGCTTTTCTTCTACTTAGAGATCCAGAAATCTGAAAGTGAGCTCATTTGATGGCCAAAACTTGAGTAGTACTGTGGGATGATCTGGTTCTACCTTATGTAACTCTTATGACATTTTATTTAATATTTTATTAAATATCTGTACTTTTTATGATGGATATATTGACCAAGTCCTATTTTTGCATATTAATTTAACTATGTTATCATTAACAAAACTATTTCTTGGATACTTGTTTTATTTAAACTTCTATTCTGTTTCCCACCAGAAAGCCAAAGAGCATATCGATTTGTACAAGGGAAGGACTGGGGTTTTAAAAAATTCATTCGAAGGGATTTTTTGCTTGATGAAACTAATGGTCTTTTACCAGACGACAAGCTTACATTATTTTGTGAGGTGGGTACATTTTTTATTTCAAGGAACTCCATGGTTATTTTTAATGATAAAGCAGAAACACAAACTATTGTACAATAATATTGGGTATTCTGTAAAATTAATAATTGATATAATTGATAAGGTTTCATTTGTAAATGTTTTATCAGTGAAAGATGACTAGATTGTTTTAGAAATCAGTATAGTAACCCACTATAAAAAATTACCGTCACATCTCTATTTATAAATTGTATATGTAGTTAATACTAACACATACTATGTTTTTCTTTTAGGAATACTATTGATGTGTATATCTTTATATAAAAATTTTAAATACCTTCTTCATCCTGAATAATTCTGACTTAGATGGTCAATATTTTTTGTCATATTCAGATTGATCATATTAAATATTATTAGTAGTTTATCAGTTTGAACCCATACTTGAACAATAAAGTGCCTGAAAAAGATTGGGAAGTTTTGTATTCATTCAAACAGTTGAGTTCATTTAATCAAATGATGTTAACATTATAAGCAATAGCATTTCAAATTTTTAAGTATGCCCATGTCTGCAGACAAACTTAGGAGGTATATTTATATGCATAAAATACTATATTTTGGAAGTTACCAGCATTGTTTTGCCAATAATTTAAACTTACGATTTACTTTAATTTGAAGTTGGGATTTGTCTCTCTCTGTCTTTGTTATCATTTTGTAGATTTATCTCTACAAACTGTTGAGATTCATCTTTGGAATGAATTCAAGAATGATATTGTGTTACCAGTACAGTTTATAGAGAATATGCATCAGTAACATAATTTTATCAAAAATGTTTATGGTAGTTGATAATTTTAATAGGAAAGCCATTTGAAAAAGTTATGATCAAGTAAACTCAATGTTAAATATATTTCAGTAGGTTATTGTAGCTAGATGACTGTCTGATAACTTCCTTAACTGCTACTAAGTTAGCTTTAACTTCTTTATAGAAAATGTGCAAAATTTCTTGGCAAGATTACAAACTAATTGTATGTCATTATGCTGTGTCAGAAGAATAATTGAAAAATGGCCCCAGAGACTGCACAGTGCAAATATAGTGCATTTATTTTCACTTAGACAAGTTAAATGAACTGTATGATGAATTTGTTATGAATGCAATTATTTGGTTGGTAAAGCACATACTACAGTGTCTTGAGCAGAACTTATCATTAAATTTTTTTTTTTAAATAACAAGCATTTATTGTCAATAAATAGATATTCTAAGTAGCAGTCTAAATAAATATAGGTCATGTTATTTAAAAATTTTAGCACCCTTAATATAGAATCTTTCAAAATTTTAGCAGTTACCTTAAATTTTGCATGTTAATTTTTTTAAATGTTGTAATCTTAGAATTTAAAGGATCTTAAAAGCTATGAATCCAATTTAAAAAACAACTGTAACTAAAAGTCTTTTGTGAATAAACTTTTTAAAGATAATATATATATTTTTAGCATTGAAATTTTATTTGCCGATATTTTTCTAAGATATTGTATTGGAACCTAGACAACCAAGAAATTCAGAATAAAGGCTGAAATAAAGATTTTCTGATACATATTTTTTCAAGTATAGTTTTTATCTACAAGAGATTATATACACTAGTGACCTTAAAATAGAACCCACCATGATATACATTTTGAGTTGGCATTGATCAGATTTAGTTTTGGAGACAGCAATATGTACCTTTGTATCAATCTAGAAATTTATACCCTGGACACCGTATTTGGCATAGGTAGGCAAAAAGCACTTTGAGCAAACATTCCTCATGCCCTCCACCATTTCTTCCATACCTCTCATTGATGCCCTTCCTTCTACAGCATCTTCAGCACTGCTTGCAGAAGAGGAGGAAGCATTGCACTGCCCTCCGTAAAGAACTGCCTCCTCCCCCTCCCCTGCAAGTGGTGCTGTAGACAGGTAAGGCAGTTTGGTGCTACCCTTTTTGTGCAAGACATAACTTAATCTTGCAAGTTCCATGCTGTGAATCCATTAGCCAGAGATAGAGAGATTTCTAGCCGTGTAAACAGCTCTCTGCCTCTTCTCTCTCAAAGTGATATAGAAGACAGGAATTAAGGAATAAGTAGGAAAAAATAGAAAGTTGATTAGATTATTTTTTTTAATCAACAAATTTTAAATAATCTCATAATCAACAGCCCCATGCCATTCCATGATATACAGAAAGATAGATAGATAGTTTTTTATTAAATTATTTCATTTAGAAAAATACCTTTTTTCCCATACTACTTTTCTGTTGCTAAGATAGTCTTTCTGTTTTAAAATACTTGTGGTAATGGATGGAAGTTGGGTTCTATTCTGTAAAAAGCCCTTTCATGGCAAACTGAAAGTGACAATCCTATTTCTATCACCCAAATTAAAAAAAAAAAAGATACCTAGCTATGAAAGTCAAAATGTCTGAGACCCACTATTCTATAAGATGATGTGAAATCATACTGTTAAAAGTTTACACTTTGGAGTCAGTATGAGGAATGGCTGGGTTGTTGATTAGAGTGGCAAACTTTGTAGTCCTGTGCACCTTTGTAAATTCCTAGCTTTCAGAATTAATTTGGAGAATTGAGATTTTTAAAAACTGGAACCAGTCATCACCTAAATTCCACACTAGAGGAGACCCGGATTTCCAGAGTCATTATAGTTAATTAGAGCCTGCGCATGTTCATTGGTACTCAAAATTGTATTCTCAGAGTTAAACCAACAGCAAATTTGAAAGAGAATTGTAAAATGAGTTTGAGGTGTTGCTTTGCAGCATTTGTCAATTTTGAGTATTGTACACTTGCCTTTTTCTCTGAAAGAACAACAGTTTAGCCTGAGGAAAGATCTCAGCCTTTTTTCTGAATTTTTTACTTTAGGTTCTGTTCAGCACAAATGTTAAACCTATATTTGAATATGTACTAGAAAAAACTAAAAATTTACTAATTTCTTAATTATAGGTATCGAGAAAATAATCATCAGAATTCATTACACATCAATTTTTAATTAGATCATTAACTTATCTAGAAATAGTTCCTTGAATATTCTTTGGAGTATGAAATGTCTCAGTTAAAAATTTGTGGTTGCTATGACAATACTATAGATGTGTATGGCAATAACATAAATACTTCTGAATTATGATTACACATACAAAATACAAATGTAACATCACTATATGCCTGCTAATAACGGCTTTAATTTTTGGTTTTTTTATTTCTTCCGTTACCTGGTATTTGCCAAATTTTTACACTAAATATATTATTTTGGGTTAGGATAATAGACAATGGATAGAATTTAAGAAACCCATTTCTAAATTAAATATATCATCACATTTTTATAACTCCACATGCATACTTTATGCAAGTAATTGAACTGATCCAGAATTGCTGTCTAGAAATTTCAAGAGAAATGCTTCTTATGATAAAAACTGATTCCTAACTAAATCTTGAATATTAATACCAACACATTTGGTTTATGTATCATTAAGTTATAATGTATGGTGTAATGGGACGATCAAGTAAGGATTAGTGAAGCTTTTTTTCTGTTTTGTAGTTACTAAAATTTTAGAAATTATTTGAATAATTAAAAACTTAATAAGAGAATATTGTTTATGTGCACAGTATTTTTTGACTCCTGTGTTTAGAAAAGCATCTTACAAGATTGTTGTGATAAATCCACTTTATGAATTATAATTGCATTAAAAGTACTACTAATTTACAAAAAAATAGCCAAAGAGATATTGTGTAATGCCGAATGCTAAATGAAAAAGTAATCTGGAGATACAGGTCTAGTCTTCCTCTGATACTGAATAGCAGTGTAATTTAGGACACTTTATTTAGACCGTCTCTTGATCTCACTTTGAAAACATTTTACAAAACAAGGTGATTGGATTAGATGATTTCTAGGACACATGATTCTAAAAGGTTAGTAACGCAAGATGGAAAAACAAAGTGATTAATAAAAATATCCTAAGAAAATAAAATTTTTCTCTAGAAGTGTCCATTCACATGAGATATACGCCTACATCTGGGTGAATGAGGACTTCTGAGTTTT